TAAAAAAAAAAAAAAAAAAAAAAAAGACACTTTCCAAAAGCAGTGTTTGTCCCCAAACAGCCCATCACTGCCCCTGTGGGACCCCGCTCCGGCCAAGGCACCCAGCAGCACCCCAAAACTGAGTCCACCCAACCACAGCTTTGGGGATATTTAAGCCCGTAGTGCCATCTGCTGGCAAAGGGCCCCCCAAATCCCCCCAATTTTGCTGCCAAAACCCCACGAGTGTCCCCCCCAAAAAGGTCCCCAGAGCACCCGCAGACGTTGCCAGCCCCTCACGCCCACCTTCTGCAGGCAAAACTGCCGGGATGGGGGGGTTAAAGCAGTTTAAATCTGGTTTTAAGCAGTTTAAAGCCATTTTTAAAGCACTTTTAAAGCAGTTAAAAGCTGTTTTAAAGCAGTTTAAAAGCCATTTTAAAAGAAATTGGAACCCTTTTAGGAGAAAGGACCAAACCCCACGATGTTTTCCCCTCACTTGATACCTCCCCAAAGAGTCCAGGGCAGCCGCTGGCAATGGAAACTTGGCAAATTTAATACTGATACAGGAGGGTTTTGCTTTACACAGCAAAAATTAACCCGTGGAGGTCACCGGGATAGCAAGAAAGCCAGGAGCCTACCGGGATTTAATAAAAACATGTACAGGGGTAACGGACAGATACAAAACACCAGCAGGGACTGGAGTCCTACCTCAAGGCTCAGCCGGGTTCGCTCTAACTTGGCGTTTTTTTCTTAAAATAAAAAAGTCTGCTCAGGGCGTTGGTGCACCCAGGCAGCAAAGGCGACCCCAGATTGGGGTTTTAATTTTTTTTTTTTTTTTCCATTCGCATCATGGCCGTGCACCCCAACGTGGCCAGGGACTACCGCCCCACCATTTTGGGTCTGGTTCAGCTCTCTGGGGAGCTGGAAGGCACTTTGGGACCCCTGAAAAATAGGGGTGCACCCCACAAAAAAAATAAACGGGTGCAACCCAGGGATGCTGCTGCTGCCCTGTGATGGTGGGGGGGGGGACAGCTCATCCTGCTCACGTCTGCGGAGGCCGTGCCCGGCTGTCACGTCTCAGTGTATTATACAAAGATTAAAAAATATAAAATTCTTTAAAAAAATCATCAGCCCTATTGGCACAAGTAAGCTCTACGTACCATCTCGCCGCGTGGGTGGGGGGCAGAGGGGGCGTCGCCGGGTCCCAGCACCCCGGGGCGCAGGGCTAAGCTCACCAAAGTGTACCCTGACCTCCGCTCGCCCGCCGTGGCGGCAGGGCCACCCGCAGCCCTCGGGGGCCAAGGCGGGGTGTCCCCCCTTAAACCTCTGTGGGACCGGGGGGGGTTTATCCCAGCGACACCCCGTTTCTCTTCTCACTGCGCTGATGGGGTGGTGGGGGACACCCCAAAATCCCGCCGGCGTCTTGCATCGAGTCTGTCTGGGTGACGTAGGGGGGCAAACGCCGTCCCCCGAGGGGAGAAATCGGCGGTGGCCCCGCACGATGGGATGGGCTTCGGTGTCCCCACGCAGGTTGCCCGTGGTGGGGGAGGCGTCCTCGTCCCCCGAGGTGTCCTCACCCCCCGAAGTGTCCTCGTCCCACTGAGTTTAAAAGTCCGAATCGGCGTCCAGCAGCTCCGCGTCCACCAAGTTGGTCCGGGAGTGGATGGGGGCTAAGCCAGCCCGTCGGCTTTGAGTCCTGGCCCCTCCGCTGCCGTGGGGCAAGGGACCGAGGTCGGGGGGCCAATGCGGACCCCCGTTGTGCTGCCGTCGCCCGGTGCTGGGGCCGGGGCTCTCCTCCTCCTCCTCCGGGGAGCCACTCTCGGGGCAGAAGGGGTTGGTGACGAGGTGGAAGACGTTGGCTCTGCGGCGGCCGTCCCAGAGCCCCCCAGTGAAGGTGGTGTCGGGCTGCCCGGGAGGGAGCCCCGGGAGGACATCGGGGGTGAAGGCGACCAGGTAGGGCTGGGAGGGCAGCCGGGGCAGGCGAGAGACGGCGCTGGGGGCCAGGGGGGCCGCGGAGCCCCCCTGGCAGCGCTCAGGACTCGGGCACACCTCCTTCTTCTTCTTCCTTCGCTTTTTCTTGCGGCTATTGCGTTTTTGCAGCTCGGGGGAGACGTCGGCTTCCACCAGCCAGAGGTTGGCCCTCTCCTCCGGCGGCACTGGGGGACACGGGGGGGTGAGCGGCCGCGTCCTGCCCGGTGACCCCCCCCGGTTCTACCTCCCCACATGTCCCCAACACCCCTCAGCCCAGCTCCCGTGTCCCCCCCCATCCCAGAGGTATCCCAAACAGTCCCCAAGGACTTGCCAGGTGTTGCCACAGGTGTGACGGAGATGTCCTGGGGCAGGATAGCCCCTCTCCTGGCCACCATCTTGGTGACGTGTTGGGCCCACGCCGAGGACACATCGGCCGAGGGCTCGTTGATGTCAAACGCTAAACCGGCTGCAATGACAAGGGGGGAGCTGAGTCAAGGGCAGGGGGGGACAGTGGGGACTTTGGGGGGCTGTCACCTCTCCTGGGCACGTACCCACGGGCCCGTCGTGCGAGACAGTGTGCATGCTGAAGGACAACTCCTGGCCCGGGTCGCGCAGCAGCTCCTTGCGCTTGGAGAAGGCCTTGGCGATCATCTTGCTCTTCTTGATCCTCTTAGGCTGGTCATCACTCTGTCCTGTCAGCCTGGGGACACAGCGGGTCAGAGCAGGGACAGGGAGACCCTCCCCTCCTCTGGACAGGGACACCCGGGGGCTGGGGACCCCGGGGACCTGCAGAGTGGGAGAGGTCACCCCGTTCCCAAACCACTGTCCGCTGCGAGCCCACAACTCATTCAGCCAACAGAAAAAAATTTGGGGGACAACCTCCAACATCTCAGAACATTGGATGGGGCAGGAATGACCCCCACAGAGCTGCGGTGACATCCCCAGGGTCCCACCTGCACCAAGTACGCTTCCAGATGAGCAGGGTGGCCTTGGTCCAGACCCAGGTGCTCATGGAGACGCCGGTGCCGAACATGGCGAAGAGGTTGATCTTCTCCACCAAGAGACTCGGGCGGTTCTTGATCTCGCAGTCTGGGATGGGCTTGTTGGTCTGCGTGGCGATGGTGACGTTGGCCTCGCACCTGCAGGGACAGAGATGGTGACCATAAGGAGGGGGACGCCCAGCGACAAGCGGAGGGACGATGCAGTGGCAACGCTGGAAGGGGGACACGGGGCTGTCCGCTCTGCGACATCCCCCCAGCTCAAAGCGAGGTGCCGGGACGTCACCAGCGTCCCGCTCCCCCTCCCATCCCCGTCCCACTCACAGGACGTATTCCCGAAAGCTGCGCTCCCACTCCGCCTGGTTGAAGAAGTCATAAAAGTGGCAGCCAAAAGTGATGAAGACGAAGCCAAAGGCCAAGAAGCCGAAGATGCCTGGAAGAGAAGCGGGACATCCCCAGTTTAGCCAGACCCCAGCGACACCGAGACAAAGATGTGGCACTGGAACCGTGCCACTGTCACTACAGCTTTGTCCCCACCGCCCCCTGGGAAGGTGGTATGGAGCTGTCTGAGTTCAGGGGCCAAAATATCCCCATTCCTGCTCAAATTGCCATGGAAACGGTGGCGACAGAGCCCCCCCTTACCCAGCCGCAGCATGGTCTCGTTGATCTTGCTGGCTGCCTTCTCGCTCAGCAGCCCGGGGTGGTTGCTCTTGATGGAGAAGAGCGTCATGACCCCTGCGGTGGAGGGACAAGGTGATCAGGGTCAGGGGGACACTCACGGTGTCCCCGTCCCCGCGGTGCAGCCAGCCCGCACCTACCCCGGATGAGGAAATAGCCCCCCACGATGAGGACGAGCCCGATGGGCGCCAGGACGAAGCCGGCACGGTAGCGATAGTTCTTGTACCCAACGAAGCAGATGCCACTGACAGAGTCACCATCCACCTGGGAGAGACAGGGTGGAGGGGGGGGTCACGTTGGCTGCGGCCACCCCTCCCCACCAACGTCACCCTGGAAGGGAACCGCTGGGCTACGGGATCGTGGCCCCGTTACCTGCGCCACGGCCAGGATGGCCACGGTGAGGACGAAGGGGATGGACCAGGTGATGAGGTGGAAGTAGGAGGTTTTGCCCAGCAGCGGCTGGTAGGTGGTGCCCAGAGCCTTGAAGGAGGTGTGCCAGGCGTAGGTCAGCATGACGAACCAGATGACACCCGACATCAGCGAGTAGTAAACGATGACGAAGATGATGACACAGGAGAGCGTCTCGTTGGAGCTACGGGGAGAGGTGAGAGAGGAGCATCATCAACCTCCATGAGGGGACACAGAGAGGAAGATCTCTCCTACCCCGAGAGAGGAGGAAGGTCTCTCTCACCCCAGGAGAGGAGGAAGACGTCTCCTCCTCAAGAGCGGAGGAAGACCTCTCCTACCCCAGGAGAGGAGGAAGACCTCTCCCACCCTAAAAGCAAAGGAAGATCTCTCCCACCCCAAGAGCAGAGGAAGATCTCTCCCACCCCAAGAGCAGAGGAAGATCTCTCCCACCCCAGGAGAGGAGGAAGATCTCTCCTACTCCAGGAGTGGAGGAAGATCTCTCTGACCCCAAGAGGATCCTCCATGCTCCCAAGAGGCCAGGAAACCCCCGAGAGCCCTCCTTGGTCTCGGGGACACCTCTTGGCACGTGGCCATGGTGGGATGGCGATGAAGGTGACACGTACGTGGGTTCCCCCAGCCGCATGGTGCCGTCGGCCCGGCACACAATCTCGTCACGGGCGCCGTCCATGAACTGCGCCAACCACCCGATGCTGCCCACAAAGAAGCAGGCGTTGACGTAGAAGAGGATGACGGCGGGGTAACGGTTGGAGTTCCTCCAGTCGGCGACGAACGTGGCCTGGCGGGGAGGAGAAAGGGACAACTTGGTGCCTGGTCCCCTCTTGGGGACACCTCCCGTGTCCCCCCAGCGCATCTCACCAGGGTGAAGAAGGTGCAGAAGATGGTGACGGAGCTGAAGGCGGCGATGTAGACATGCATCTCGCGATGCTCCTTCTCGGTGAAAAGCGGGTTCTGGCACTGGATGCCGCAACCTTCCACATCCTCGTACCAACTCTTGGGGTTGTCCGTCCTCACCAGCGGCGCCTCGCACTGCCCCGAGCTGTTGAACTTGATGTTCTGCACTTCATTCTGCCGCAGGAGGAGAAAGAAGGAGGCTGTGAGGAGGAGGAGGAGGAGGCACCTGCACAGCCGTGCTGCCAGTGTGGACATCGCTCCCCCACATGGGGCTGGGGACAGGCAGTGTTTCGCTGCTGTCCTGTGGGGATTTGGAAAGGATTCACAGAACCCCAGAGTCCTTCAGGCTGGAAAAGCCCCTCGGGATCATCAAGTCCAACCCTCAGCCCAACCCTACAAAGTTCTCCCCTACCCCACATCCCCCACAGCTCATCCCAACGGCCCTGAAACCCCCCCAGGGATGGGGACTCCCCCCTCCCTGGGCAGCCTGTTCCACTCTCGCACCACTCTTGCTGGGAAACATTTTCTCCTCCTGCCCAGCCTGACCCTCCCCTGGGGCAGTTTCCAGCCGTTCCCACTTGTCCTGTCCCTGATCCCCTGGGAGCAGAGCCCAGCCCCAGCCTCTCTGCAATGTCCTGTCAGGAGCTGCAGAGAGGGATGAGGGCTCCCCTCAGCCTCCTCCTCCTCACACTCAACACTCCCAGCTCCTTCCCTGGCTCCTCACAGGATTGATTCTCCAGCCCTTCCCCAGCCTCG